AGACCGGTTTCCCTACTCAGGCAGACTGATAATGAACTCTTCCCTTCCCTTTCACAAATGTCCTATGCTCAACACCCAAACAACCTGCAGAGAAACATAATCGAGCCAGCCAACATCCTCCTGCCTGCTCAACTTGGAAAGGATTCTGCTACAAGGAAGGGTGTGTATGGAAGCTAAGCAAAGTCCCAGTTTCCGTCCTGATTCAGGGACCCACCTCAGGAAGACCTTGCCTTGGCTTGGGGAGCAGGTAACCTGTTTAAACTATGGGGTTACCCAAGAGTTGGACTCATCATTGCACACCCTTAGGAGAAGCACCCTAGGTTCTTTAGGGAGAAGTTTCCCATCACTTGTTTCTCCTTTTCTCTCACTGATCGGAAGTCACCTGAGTCCTGGGGAAGTTCAAAGCGGGGGCCCCAGGGGCGAAGGAAGCAGGGGGTGTCCTGGTTGGGAACAGGGGATACTCCCGGGACCCGGACCTGCCTCTAGGAGGGCAGGTTAGTCAACGCGAAACCAGCTCTCGAGGCTGAAGTTAGTGTCGCCTAAGCTGGGACAGCTGGGACACGGGCAGAGGAGCTCGGCGCCCGCTCCTCCCGCCTCCGCACCCGCTCGTGCGCGGAGAGGCGCCGGGATACACCGGTGTAAGCTGGAGGGGAGGAAAGGGGGACAAGGGAGCGTCGTAGTTAGGCTCGGGGAGGGGATCCTGGCCCCGGGTAGTGTTCCTGAGGGTCCTGGGGAAGGGGTGCAGCGCCTCGAGGAGGGGCAGCCGTCCCGGCCCGGGGACGTCGCCGAGACTTGGGGACTGGATCCCGAGCGCAGGGGTAATCGTTGAAGGGATTGGGGAGCGGGTCCCAAGCTGCGAGGCAGAGGAAACGTCTCCTCCGGGGGCGTCACTGAGGAGCCTGGCGAAGGGGTCCGGGAGGCACTGAGGAGGAGAGGACGTCCGGGCCTGGGGGCGTCGCTGAGGAGCCTGGAGAAGTGCTCCCGGGAGGCACCCGCGAGGGAGAGAGTGGGCCCCATAGACCCGCAGGCCCGAGTCGCCCCTCGGGCGGGCTCCACACCGGGCAGATGCCGGGGGTCGCTCACTCACCGGGTCCAGAGCCGAGGCCGGGGCTGGGCGCGGGCCGGGCCGCCAGCGTGAGCGCCGCGGCGGAGAGCAGGGCGAGGCGGGCGGCGGGCGGCGCCATGGGCCGTCAGTGCGGGGCCCCGGGGCGCGGCCCGGGGGAGAGGGGGCAGCGCCGGGAGCCGGGGGCGGCCATGGGAGCCGGACGCGGGGCCCGAGTGTGGCCCCGCCCCGGCCGCCGGCTGCCCCGCCCCGGCCCGCCCTCCCCAGCGCCGCCACCGCCCCAGCCGCCCGGGGCCCGCCTGGCTCCGCGGCGAGGCCCGAGGGGCGGAGCCGACGGCGCACGCACGTCCCGCCCCGCGCCTGCCACTCACACTATGGGCCAAGCCCACCTTTCTTCACCTGGACCCGCCCCACCGTGCAACCTGTTTGACCGACCAAGGGGTGGGGCCGGGAGGTGAGGGGCGGGGTCAGGGCCCTGCCTCTGAGTCCCCTAGCGGATGTTTGACCCGGCTGAAGCGGGTCGGGCGCTCTGAGATCCCTGCTCCACCCTCACTCGGGTCGTGACCCACGCGGGATCAACCACAGCGGTAATAATCAGAACGGCAGTTTGCAAACCTCTTTCTCCTGCTTGGCTTATCGTAGTGGTTAACTAAAGGGTGCTTTGGAGTCAGCCTGTGATGTTTGACTCAGTCACCTGTAAGATCTTGGACAGGCGTGAAGGAAATATAACTCTCATCTCAAATTTTCTTTTCTGTTTAATGGGAGTGATGATAAGCAACTACTCCCCAAAGTGATTGTACTAAATGAGATAATGCATGCAAACATTCGTGCACGCCCAGTAGGGACTCGGTAAATGTGGAGTTTCTTTCTCCAAGTCAAGTCTAGCTACAAAGGAGGCGGCATAGTGAGCTCTGGATCAAAATCCTATCACGCACTATGTCAATTAGGGCAAGTTTCCTGACCTGAGCCTCTGCCATTTGCAAAATAGAAAGCAAGTAAATCACCCAAAGCAGAGTCCAAAAGTGGATGGGACCGTGCTGCTTATTTTGCAGATTGAGACACTAGGGCACAGAGGGCTCGTGCTTTTCTTAAACTCTTAGCCCCTGCGTGGCAGGCCCTTTGCACCCTAAGGTCTTCCCCAGCCGCACCCAGTTCGGTGGTAGGCCTGTTTCCTCCCCCGCACTCCCCCAGGCGAAGGGGATTTTCCTACCGCTCCCTCCTAAAACGCCACGGCGACGCCCCGTGGGGCAGGTCCAGGCGGCGCGCCCGGCGCTTTCAAGTCCCTGGTCCCGGACTTGCAAGTGCAGACCTGCGCCCCGCGCGGCGGCGGGAACATTTATTCTCCTGTGCAGACTCGAAGCGCCCAGGGGCTGGGCGGTACCGGCCCCAAGGGATCCGGTACACCGGCCCCTGCTCCGGGTCGCCCACTCCCAGAACCCACGTTCCCCGCAACCACCTTGGTCCCACACGCACACACCGCGCTCCCAAGGCTGGACCCCAAAGGCGCAGCTACCTCCCACGAGGCCTCTCAGCCAGTGTCCCTCTCCACCCACACGCTGCGGCAAGAAAAATCTTGTTCAGGTTTTTGTTTTCCCTGTCATTCCTAGTTCAAGAATCCTCTGGGCTCCTTATTGGAGTATGCGAACCCGCCCCACGCCCCAGACACACTCCATCCCAGGGACACATCCTCCACATCCCACCTGTCAGAGGAGGAAAATCGGAAGAGGCACGTAAGAGGTAGAAACAAGGTTTATTTGGCCATCCATGCCTCCTGATGGTACCTTTCGACTGCCCTTTCCCCTGGAGGAAGGCTCCCACTGCTGGGCTGGCACCGGCCCCCATCAGTGACTTGTCTTCCTCTCCTTTGGGTACAACCAGGACCAGCTATATGATTTGCATGGCTCCATGAGAAATTAAAATGCGGGGTCCTTTGTTCCAACTTTGGTAACAGCAGAGCATTAAAGCAAGCATAGGGCCCTTCCAAGCATAGAGCCTGTGTTGCGACAACCCATGAAATTGGTCCTGTGTCCAACAGAACTCAGAAAGTGTGCGAGCTCCTGCCCCCTCTGGCTGCTCTAAGAAGCGTCCCTCCAGCCTTCCCCACCCCCATCTTCTCTTTTCCAGTTTAAAGCCCATCACAGGTGATGGAAACAGTGCACAAGAGGCTAAAAATACAGCCGAGTGTGTCTAGGTCATGGCACTTAAGGGCTCAAGGTCTTTTGCTCAGTTATGTGGTCCCGGCCTCTAACAGGGAGCAGCCGAGATATTCATTTCAATGCTTCACATGCCTGGGGTGTTTAGCAGCTTTATTTCATGGAAAGAGTGGGGACATTGACTGCAGGCTCTGGGCCACCAGGAGGATGTTGGTGTTGGTTTGTTTGCCTGTTTAGCTCTGCAGTCAGATCCTTTTCCTCCTCTGAAAGGAGCAGGATTTGCTAAGAACTGGAGACAAACTGGTGGAGTTTGGGTCAGTCTAGTGTCTTTGAAACCCCAGTTGTGGGATGTTTTCTGATGAAAGAACAGTTTTGCTTTGTTTTTGGAACCAAGAGTTGAACCCAGAGGTACTTCACCACTGAGCCACATCCCCAGCCATTTTTTTTTTAAATATTTATTTTTTAGTTTTAGGTGGACACAATCTCTTTATTTTTTATTTAATGTGGTGTTGAGGATCAAACCCAGCGCCCCATGCATGCCAGGCAAGCGTGCTACTGCTTGAGCCACATCCCCAGCACCCCCAGCCATTTTTTAAAAATATTTTTTTAGTTGTTGATGGACCTTTATTTTAATCATTTATTTATATGCAGTGCTGAGAATCCAAGCCAGTGCCTCACACATGAGTGGCAAGCACTCTACCACTGAGCCACAGCCACAGCCCCCCAGCCTTTTTTAATATTTTATTTAAAGACAGGGTCTCACTAAGTTGCTTAGGGCCTCACTAAATTGCTGAGGCTGGCTTTGAACTCCTCCTGCTTCAGCCTCCCAAGCCACTGGGATTACAGGCATGTGCCACCCTGACTGGCTAGAGAGCACTAGTCAGGGGAGTCTGGTTATAATGACAACAATACCAAACACATTTTACCAAGCACTGTACGGAGTGTTTATGGTCAAATTGCATAGAATCCCCCAGTAGGTTTATAAGGGAAGCGTCCTTGGCATCCAAAGTTCACATGGTAGTGGGGCTGGGCTTTGAACCTAGGCAGAGAGACCCCAGGTCTCTTTTTTTAAACACTATGGTAAAATGTCTCCCTGTCTTTACAGGAATGTCAACAAACAGAGAGTGCTCCAGGACTGGGATTATGGTGAAACAAGGGAGATACGGACTCAAACTAAAAATTTAAGGAGACATAATAAAAAACACAGTAAAAAACACCTCAGTAGTCATGATAAATATTATTTAATAAATATTTATACATCTAATAAATTAATAAACAGCATTTTAATATAATATTTTTAAAAAATACAAATACCAAGAAAATCCACAATGAAGCTGGGCCTGGTGATATATTCCTCTAGATCCACTGTTATGGAGGTTGAGAAGGGAGGATCGCTTGAACTTTGGAATTCAGGGGCTGGGCAGGCCCTGGCAACATACTGAGACCTCATCTCATTTAAAAAAAAAAAAATCCTTTGGATGTAGTGGCATAACCTGTAATTCTAGCAGCTCCGGCGGCTGAGACAGGAGGATCACAAGTTCCAAATTAGCTTGGGCAACTTAGTGAGACCCTGTCTCAAAAAAGAAAGAAAGAAGTATGGGGGGTGTGGCTCAGTGGTAGAGCACCCTTGGATTCCGTCCTCATTGGGGGGGGATTATCCAAGATGAACAGAATGATAACATTTTTAACATCTCCTTCCTTTTCTTCCCTTCCCTTTTCCTTCCTCTCTTCCTTCCTTCCTTCTTTCCCTCTTTCCTACCGGAGCTGGGGATGGAACCGCCCTTTCCTCACACAACCTAGGCAAGCACTCCACCACGGAACTACATTCCAAACCAATGTCAATACTTTCAATAAAGATAGGATCCATGGTCCTGATTTTCCTTTGGACTCTGGTTTGACTCAGCACAGAATACTTACTGATCCTTTGTCCCAGGTTTGGCTCAGGCATCTAGTGATGGAAAATTCCAAAGAAGCAGTCATTTTTGTTGTTGTTGTTGTTCTGATGGAGATGAGGGAAGAGAAAGAATCTGGACTTAAACACAGTGACCCAGAGCTATCTGTGGAGCTTCCAGGTGAGTATGTTTGGGTTGGAAATGAAGAAATAGGACTCATCTACATCCTGGATCAGACAGGACCCAATCATCTCACATCCTTGGCCCACGATTGGTGCATATTCAGCACATGTGGTCTAAATCATTGGTCCTCGAATTTGCATCATAGTTCAGGAATCTTTTCAAAATCTCTCTCCAAAGTTTTTCTCTCCTTTGCATCACAGACCTCAGATATACTCCCACATGGGTGTGGAAGTTTTCTGCTGGAGTGTTAATAAAAATATCTTCTGAGGAAAAGAGAAATAACAATTCCACTAGAATTTGTGTGTGTGTGGGGGGGGTAGGGCCATAAAGGGGAAAGACAAGAATTAATAAATGGAATCAATTTCTTCTTGATTAGCTGAGTCTCCAGAAAGAGAATAAAAGCTAAGGGAAACTGAAGGAAGGAAAGAAAGAAGAAAGATTATAGGAGCTAAAAATATTATGAGAAAAGTTTGGCTAAGCATCAAAGACAGGCAGATATGTTTCCCAATAGAAGCTCTGGTTTAGATACGTCAGGAAGCACAGCTCCAAAGGATGGGTGGAAAATAAGGTTATTTAGACTAAGCTCAACAGAATAAAATTTTAAAAGATTTAGAGGAGCATCAGAGCATATTGCTTTCAGCAATATGGAAGCTCTGCCGCCTCAGCCCCAAATTCTCTGGATCAAGTGTTGGCACTGAGGATGGAAATTTGCGCCACAGTTTCAGGACCTTGGACCAAATAGTCTTTCCAGCCTGACTTTATAATTTTAAAGGGAACAATCTCTGTTAAAGCCTAGCTACTTTCCTTATCATATCCTCAGCTGCCTGCTTCCCTCCCTATCCATTTAATAAAACATGGACTATTCTGGAAAACCTCCACAACCAGGCAGGGAATGTAGCTCAAATGCATACACCACTTCTGTGAGGTCAATCAAGTCCAATTCTAGTAGGATTTCGTATTTGGTGAAGATGGATCATGAAGAAAGAGTTGCTATGATATCCAAGCCAGGTCAAAACATTTCCTACATTCAATGGGCTTTTTGCTTGGCTTCATAAGCCCCATGGATGTATATAAATGACCTGAAGTGAAGATCGTATCTAGGGGCTAGAGAGTGTTAAATGAGCACATGGGCCACAGTATGAATAACATTATAAGAAAATTATTTATTTATTCTCTGTAGATGTGTTTTCCAATTTAATCTCCACCACCCCAAAGACAGAAAATGCAGTGATTTTTTTTTTCTTTTGCATCCTAGGGCAAGGACATTATTTATTGGGTACTGGCTATGCACCGGAAGTCATGCCAAGTGCTTCCCATGGATCGTTCCACTCTGTTTTCACAGTAATTCTTTGGTAGGCACTATTACTATCCTCATTTCACAGAGAAGTACATGAAGGTTTAAAGATGTGGATTTACTTGCCTGTTGAAAATTGAAAATGGATCTGGGATGCCAATTTGGGCAGAGTGACTCCAGAGCCCAGAGAAGGGCTCATGATAAGAATAGGACTAAAACTAAAAACCCAGGGGTGCGCTGACCAGAGGACACACCTCATGGTAGTGACTGGTTCAGAGGAAGGGCGGTGTAGAATTTGGTTGAGTTCAGTCTTTTTTGGTTACTAGTTATGGGACCTGGGGCATGGCCCTTTTTTTTTTTTTGTGGTTGGAGGTAGAACTCAGGGGCACTCAGCCACTGAGCCTCATTCCCAGCCCTATTTTGTATTTCATTTAGAGACAGGATCTCACTGAGTTGCTTTAGGGTCTTGCTAAGTTGCTGAGGCTGGCTTTGAGCTCGTGATCCTTCTGCCTCTGCCTCCTGAGCCGCTGGGATGACAGGCATGTGCCACCACGCCCGGTTGGGGCATGGCTCTTGCTTCTTTTTTTTTTTTTTTCCTGGTGGTGCTGGGGATTGAACCCAGGGCCTTTTATATGCAAGGCAAGCACTCTACCAACTGAGCTATATCCCCAGCCCTAGGGCATGGCTCTTGAGTAACTCAATTTCTTTGTCTATAATGTAGGGATGGCAAGAGGACCCATGCTCATGGTACTCTGGTGGCATTTCATGACTTGAAACACTCCTGGAACAGCACTTTGCCTTCAGTAAATGTTAAATAGATACGAATTTTGTCAACATAGGAGAAATAGAACCCAGGTTGGTTATAAGGAAGGTGAAGGCTACCTGATTGGGTACAGTCAATTGAAGTGACACTGAATAGACAGAAGGAGGGACTTACCAGATTTGAAGACACTGTGTCTGAAGCCACGTAGGTGAACAGCTCTGTGTAAAAAGAAGGAAGTTCAAAGTGCTCCGAGTCAGAGCTGTGTCCCTTGGTCATTGAGTAAGAGGAAAGTAAATATAACCGACCAAGGAGTCGTGGGAAGGAGGAGGAGGTGCAGAAAAGCCAGATTCAAGACAGGAGAGAAGAGAAATAGAAAAGCTTTTCCAATTGTGCCTTTTTGGCTCCATGTTTGCCTTCTGTCCCTGCTGGGCACAACTGAATGCAGATGGTCATTTTCAGGAGACCCAAGAGCCTGGTGCCACCTCTTCAAGATTCCCCGGCTTTGAAAGGATGCTTGCCTGCCCAATCTTCAGACATTCGCAAACCCTTCCCAAAGACAAACCCTTTCCAACGCCCTGCTGACCCACCTCTTGGGAGATGAGGCCAGGGCTCGCCACTGAATGGGCACCATTGTCCTCCCAAGTGTCTGTGGGTCCAGATGCTGTCGGCCTGGAGGTGGCTCCACCGCAGCCTACGGTGCGGTCTGCCTGTAAGGCTTTGATTCCCTCCAGGGACAACACTTCAAAAATTCAAACAGGCAACACATGCAATTCCAGGAGTCCCTGCCAGGCTCATACTCTGTTTTTCCATCATTTCACTCTCCTCCCCTTTGGGAGGGAGCCTCCTTTGGCATTTTGCGTATGAAAATGAAAACCACCAACAGGGCCAACACCTGATAAGGAGCAAGGCATTGCCTAAGAGTTCCCAGGAAGAGGCGTCTTTGTTCTCCTTTCAAGCCCTTGACACTGCTAACAGCTCTAATTACTGCATTTGCCATGGGATGTAAAATAATACCACATTCCAGAAACCCTGTAGTCTCCCTGGGAGAGACACACAGGGAGAGGTGCCCAGGGCTGCAGGAACGTGTTCTTTCATTTCTGGTCCCTAATGTTGGCAGCTATTCTGAGAACTTAACAGTACCTTCTTTATGTGCACAGAGAAAGGCACTTTTGCACGTGTAAGGGTACATCATCTCACTACCCATATCCACCAATCTGGTCTGCGTATTTGACAACGTTTCATGCAGAGCATGCTTCAGGCTCTCCAACCAGGCCATTGGGGGGGGGGGGAATGAGGACTTCAGAAGTTCCTGAGGCTATGAGCAACAACAAAATAGAACTTCTTCCAATATAATTTAACTATAAAACCTGATTATGTAACACTCACCCACACCCACATCACAAACCAAAGTGACATCACAAATACTAGAGATAATGGCTCCAAACTGCCTACATCTAAGCCCAAATCTAAACAGCAATTTGCCCACACATGGCTGAGGCAGAAGACAGGTGACTAGAAATATTCAAACAAAACAAAACAAAAAACAAAAGAGAAAAAAAAGAAAAAGAAAATACATGTTTCTTCCCCCTACTAAGCTAGCTAAAATAAAATTTAAGGCAACCGAAATATGGTAAGGTGATATTATTTATTAATTTATATTATTTTTGGGCTACAGAGGAATTGAACCCTGGGGTGCTCTACCGCTGAGCTACACCCCAGTCCTTTTTATTTTTATTTTTATTTTTTATTTTGAGGTAGGGTCTTGCTACCAGGCTGGCCTTGAACTTTTGACCCTCCTCCTTCAGCCACCTGAGTCACTGGGATTACAGGCGTGCACCACGGCACCCAGCTGATTTTATTTTCTTATAGATGACATTTCTTAGAAAGTCTGGGCTCTTTAAGAATGTGATTCTAACCTATCCAAATTGTTTTCTTGTTCTTGCCCAGTCCCCGGAAATGGAGGCAAGTATGAATTACATGGGCTTTTGCCTCTATGGACCCTAGAGTTTATTTTCCTCTTGAGCAGCTTTTCTTGGCTCATGGGAGCCTGGTTAAAAGGTGCCTTGGGGTTTGGCAGGACTCACCTGCTGTCAATTCTGTGATGCGGTGTGGTTGTGAAGTGACTACAGCTCCCATAGGTGTCCTGAGTCATTCCCTCCCATCCCAGTCCCTGAGTGGCCCCCTCCCATCCCTTTCCTGCGTGGATTCCTTTCTTTTTAGCAGGACTAAAATCGTCTTCTATTTACAGTAATCCTCCCCGGCCCCAACCCCCAACTGTCTGCCCCAGCATGCTATGTTCTTTAAGAGTCGTGACCTTGTAAAGTTCCTATCTCTACCCTAGTTGGAGGAGGAGGAGGAGGAGGAGGAGGAGGAGATTATTTCAGTGAGCAGGAGAGAGCCATATAACAAAATTTCTAAGATTCATGTGGAAGAAATGGTCCATAGAATGATGTTAATACTTAGCCTTCAAAGTATAAATCTAGTCTCTGAGAATTAGTCTTCTTTTTTTTTTTTATTCCTTCTCACCCCCCCTTATAATTCTAGCACCCAATCAATGTGAGACGTGACCCCAGCATCCCCACCTATGGACTCCGACGGTCCATCTTACTGAACACCAGGCTTCAGGATTGCTATGTGGTTTCACCAGCTCTCACCAACATCTGGATGGCCAGAACATGTGCAAGGCAGAACATCAAGACCCCAGCACCAGGTACCACCTCTTGCTGGGAAGTGGTAAAGAACCCAATAATTGCCAGTTCGTTCTCTCTGGCTAAGCTTGGGCTCCGGAGGCAATTGAAGGATAAATGCTGTCCAGTACCTTCCAAGTTTGGAGAAGCGAAGCCACTGAAGAGATTAAAGCCCAGGAACAATTCAACAATGAAAGCCACGCAGCAGGCCAGGATAAGAAACCCCATCAGATCCAAGAACAAGCTGCCAGCAGGGCAGCTGCTGGGCTCACCTGGACGAGGAGGACAGAGTCCTGCAGGAAGCATTGGCGAGGTAGACAATGGCCAGGAGTGGAGAAAGTGGGATGGGTGGGAAGAGGGAAATTCTAAAGTTGAAGACAGGATTGGGGAGGGAGGGTGCCCCGTGACAGAGTGGACAGAGAACTAGATCTAGGGTCATAGTATGTATTATTATTTTATTTTTTGTGGTGCTGGGGATTGAACGCAGGGCCTTGTGCATGTGAGGCAAGCACTCTGCCAACTGAGCTGTACCCCCAGCCCAGTATGTATTATTTGTATTCCACCTCACTCCAAAGAAAGATGAAGGGACCTTCATAAACACAGACAAAAGGAACTTGGAGGCGAAGGGAAAATAAGGGTGAGAAAGGCCAGGATACGGGTCATGCAAGCTTAGGCACATGTATGTTCGAGGTGAGCTGTGAGCTTCCATATGGAGAACCTGGCAGCTAGAGGCTGATGGGAGCCAGCTCGGTCAATCCTTGGTGGCCAGTGGAGCTCAGAGCATGTCTTGGAGCTCAGCTGTCAGGGTTCATATCCTAACTCTGACCATAATGAGGATAACCTTGGGCTTAACCTCTTTTGTGTCTTGATTTTATCATATAAAATGAGGGATAATGGCCTCTCCCTTACAGGGCTTCATGAAGATTAAATGAGTTAATACATGCAAAAGGCTTTTGAATAGCGCCTGGCACAGAGTAAATAATTAGGATCCTGCATAGCGTTCAATAGATGACAGCTGTGGTTATTAACCCTCCAACTGTGTGGCCTTGGGTAAACCAGTTCCAATTTCTCTACCTTTAAAGCCGTCTCCTGCTGACCTTCCAGGGCTCCGGGAAACACACGCAGTGGTATATAAAGGGGTTCAGTAAGCTAGAACATGCTGGACAAATGTTGGTTGTTGCTGTAACCAAGACTCTGAGACACAAATCCCAGATAATTATTCTGAGCTCCCTTCTCAAGTTTTAGCTTTGACTTCTCTGCTTTCTTCCTGGCTAGAGCAAAGAAAGTTCAAAGGAGAAAAAAGTAACAGTCCGCCAAGAACTTGAAGATAGATATGTGGAACGCGTGGCCGCCACCCAAGCACTACCCTGGGACAGAGGGACCGCAGCCTGGAAGGGCCGAGCATTGCCTCCTGAAACCCCAATGAGACAGCAGGTGCTGGGGGACTCGCTAACAATCCATGGGCTCCCCACAGAGTGTTACCGGGCTCTGTACCATGCTGTGGTGGAGCCGATGCTGTGGAATCCTTCAGGAACCCCCAAGAGATACAGCTTGGAGCTGGGCAAGGCCATTAAACAAACACTTTGGGAAGCTCTGTGCAGTCAGGCCACCACCCTTGAAGGTGCTCAGAAGGACCCACTGTCTGGCAGGAAGTGGCTGGTGGTCCATGAGCCTATGCCCAAGAAATGGCCCAAGTTAAAGAGTGAAAAATAAAAATAGGAACCTATGGGAATAGGATATTCTCTGCTAGATGTCTGAAAAATAAACACTACTTTGCACCTTCTACATAATCTCAAAGAGTGCTTTACAAATTAGTGACTGTGAAACAAGACAAACAATCCCCTCTACACTCATGGGTAGGTAATTTATTTGTGTATGTTGCTTTAAAGAGATGGGGCCTCACTTAGTTACCCAGGCTGGGATACAGGTGCGACACCCTGCATCCAGCACATGGTTATTTAATTTTGAGGGCTAGTGTTTGGAGTTTTTTTTGTACATAGGAAAAGCCCTGCATATGAAGCCAATGGTTTAGGTCCCAAATTTTTAAAAAGTGGACTGCTAAGCTCTTTGTCTCCCTCCACACATCCTGAGCAGAAAGTCTACCACCACCTCAAGGAAATAAACCCACAGTCAGTCCCTAGCAGATGACCACTTGTGACATTGCAGAAATGACCTGTAACCTGGACTCCATGTTAACAGGAGAGGAAATCACATGGATGCTTCCACGGGCAAGCTGATGCAAAGCTCTTTGTAGGTTCTGAAGACCTTAACCAAACAGCAACGACAACATATAAAACACATACTTGATAAAATTGTATTTTTTTTACAGTCATTTGTACAATTTGTTACAAAACCATAGACAACTATGACTTGTTTTAAATCATTTTTGGTCTGCAAATATGTAAAATCTGTGTGCAATTATCATGTATTTACAGGGCCTTGTGTTAGTCATTTTCAATGATTATTCCAACAATGTCACACTCTCAACATAAGACATGGCTTAAGATAAATATATTAGTAAATAAATATTCTGAGAACATATTTCCATAAATGAAATGTGCTGCTATACATATACAGAATATACATAAGTTGTTTTCTAGCTTTTAAAACATTTTTTTTAAAAAATGGTAATGTTGGAAAAAGAGCCCTTAGACCATTTTATTACAAAATCTTTACAAAGTTTTTACAAAATATCTTTTAAGTGCTATGGGAGAAATTAAAACAAAACTTTTTAAAATAGTGCCTTGTTAGACCAACACAATAGAATTTATATATAAAGAATAGAAAAAGGCAGTTCTGTTTAAAAGACAATGCTCTTGATTGGTAATTCATTTTTAGACCTCATTAAAAAAGCATTAGCCCTGCCTGAACGTGAAGTAGGGACAAGGAGCACATAGGGGAAGATCTGAGCAGTAAAACAGGGGGAACTTAGGAAAATGGTGGGGGCTTTGGGTGGGGGAGGGGCTGAGTTAAACTAGCTTACTGGACCTGTGTCCACAAAGAGGTACCTCATTGGTCAGAACATCCAAACATCCATTTTCAGCTGGTTCTAGAACTCTTCAGTTTACATGGCTGTCCTACACCCAGGGCCGGGCCATAAGACCACACTCACTCCCTGACTCGGGGGATGTGGGGTTCTCAGTGTAAAGTGGGATGCTCCGTTTCCGTGGTTAAACCACAACCATGCCACTGAGAGTTCACGGAAAAAGGTACCTGTCAAGATTATTGGAGTCTTAGAGCTTCAAAGAAGACATTTCTTTTGATTTAATGGTGACACAAGATAGTTGTTAATTTATTCTGGTGACCTCCCTGTCTGATGAGCCAATACAAATTCAAAAGATGGTGGTTGACATTTTAAGTTTTTAACTACAACAATTAAATATCCTTCTTTTGTCATCTGCAGCTATCACTCTTTCAAAACGAAATTGGATGCACGTAACAAATCCAGTGGCAGCCAGATTCTGTATTCCATCTATTTAATGCTTAAGGCTTTTGAGGAGTGGTTTCTAGCCAGGACTAAAGAAAGCTGCTTTGGGGGTATGGTTTCAGACAAGGAAGATAATATGCATTCAAAGGCATTAAAAACAAGAAAGCAAAACCACAAACAACAAAAATCTCAACAATGAGAAGCTGCTTTTTGCAGTTCATGTTAAAAGCCATACACCCCCCTTCCCTAAACCATGTAATGCAAGCTGTTGTCCTGAGCAGCTGCTACTCCTGGCCCCAGAAATAAAGGCAGCCCTGATCTCATGTCAACAGCTTAGGCGCTTCTCACACTCTCGCCAACAGGTGTGCTGGGACAGCTTGCGGGGAGCCACCCCCAAGGGACCATACCCCAGAGGCTGGAGGACAAATCTCTCCACAGTGAGTTCCTAAATGGCAAATGGCTCCATCCTTTGATGCTGGGATCACTGTCAAATCCTAGCTAGAAATAAGTACATTTCCTGATCATAGACTGGGGTTTTAAAGAAAAAAGGATTATATAAAGAGATATCTCATTGAAAATGTTCCAGTCTGTACTCTGGGTTGACTTCCTGTGAGCCGACTGTGAGTGGTAATAAGGGTTTCCTTGCAACCTAGGGTGGTCCCTATTTCCCCTACAGGAGGCCAGAGCTCAAGATTCCTATTCTGCAATGAACATTTAGACCAAACAGATAAAACTTTAAATGGCAACAAGTATCTGCTAAATGAATAAAAGTGACCAGAAATTACTTCACATGAAGGCTAATGTGATTAGTTGCTTTTTTTTTTTTTAAAGGACAACAAGGACTACATTGGACAAAAAGGATGACAATCCCTGATCTGAAGTAGTTTTAAATATTCTCTCCCTTTTAAAAATGAAACATCTTAAAAAAAAAAAAGAAAAAAGAAAAAGAAACAAGTTTGGGTTCTTAAAACTCTCCCTCCCCCTTTAAAAAAACAAACAAAAGGCTGGAAAAATATACAAAACCCTACCCTTTGGGGTCTAAACTATCTGATAGTCTCTCTGTCTCATGGAGAATCAATACATAATAGTGCATTAGGTAGACAGGGTAGTAGACATTTACAGGCGAGATGAGCAATTTCAGCCACTAGGCAGAGGGCTGAAAAACCCTGAAGCAGTGCTTCCATGGGGGAAATGGAATAGGAAAAGCATCATTCGAATGGAGCTCAGTGCACACCCTGAGGGGTCTGAGAACTTGCCCCCAGGAAGGCAGTCCAAGGAAGCAGCAGTCAAGGGGCATGGCCGCCCTCACAAACGTGCATGCGCACAGGCTTGCTCCAGCGTGCCCATCCCTTCTCCAAAGGGTAGTGTGCTGCTGGGTGAGCGCAGAGCACTCCTCCCAGCCCCATCGGGACACCAAGGCCACAAAACTACATTCCTCCTGGGTGTCTGCCCCATACACCCTGCTGAACCATTTCTGCAGCCAGTGGCAGGAAGCACAAAATATTTTTCCAAAGGATTCCAAAGTCAGGATCACAGAAGGGAGAGCTTCCTCTTCCCTGCCCCAGGGCTGAGAGTTCGTGTACAAGACTACATGAACACTGCCCTTATTATAATCTGGACCTCTGTCAAGACCAGGACCGGGAACTCTTTTTGCTTGGGATAATGACCCAAAGGGACACACTGAGGATACTGGGCAAAATTGTCCCTTTCACCCTGGGGCTTCTATAGCAAAGGCTCGACTCAGCTCTCCAGTGCTGCAGATTTTATGGCCTGGGCCTACTCCTCGCCATTTCTGTTCTCTGCCTACAGGTGTGGGCTGGAGAGGCGTGGCTTCAGAGAGGACCTGACGTTTTTTATGTTCAGATTTGCCACAAGAAAGAAAGGCAGCTTTGCATTGTTCCTCAGAGTTTGTACCCATATCAACTAGCTTTACTTCAAGTTTCTGGTTCATTTTCTAAGGCAGGTGTAGCCCTGAGCTTTTCAAAGGCCTGAGCTCCCTCAGGGGAGACAACAGTATCTACACATGATGTGGTTCATTTAATGCAGCAGTGATTTTTTTTTTTTTTTTCAGCAAAAGTTGGCAGCTAGGGTTCTTTAAAATATATATTTAAATAACTTTTTACATTTACATATAATATTAAAAAAAAACAGAGAACTCAATCCCACACACCTTGGAACCCCAAGCACATACTCTACAAAACAAAAAATAACATGTTATCAAAAGACACAAAGGACTCAGAATTTTGTCTGTTGGTTTGCTAATGAGGGTGGGGTGGGCGGTGGGGGAGTTGCCACAGGTGGCTCACATTTTGGGTTGAGAAAGAGGGCTCTCTTTATTACCACTTTTGTGTTTGTCAAAGCTAAAAAAAATTTGTTTCTTGTTTTTGTTTTGAAGGAAGTCAGAGTTTGGAGTCTCCATAAATTTCCCAATTTCTAGATAAGAGTTCCTTCTGAGCTCAGGCTCCTGGGCTGCTGCTGTCTGGTGGGTGAGATCCCAGTCCTAGGAGAGAGAAGGAGAACACTCATTAAGGGAGGGAGGTGGCACTGCAGGCTTTGGAACAATGCATAGGGAACAGGAGAGGGACCCCAGGTACCCTGTCCTCTGTGATGGGCAGGCTCTTAGGAAGTGACAGTTCTGTCACATCTACTGTGTGCATGGTAACCACTGAAGCACAGCTCCTCTTCTGAGAGGAGCTCAGTGTATGCTAAGACCATCCCCCTGCCCCCCCCCCCCCCCCGCATGTTTTCCTCATCCCAGAGCCTTCTGGAAGCCCTTAGATAGCATGCAAACACAATGTACAAAGTGATGTTAACTGACTGCTGGGTGCAGGCCCTGGGAAGAACAGGGAGGAAGAGCCCCTCACAAGCTTGCAGACCTTCCCACAAAAGAACCTCGGCTTGAGATGACTTAGGAAGTAAGCAGATGGTTCAAGAGTGACCCAGAAGGGGCTGGAGGGTCACCGGGTTGAGATCTGAAGAGGTCTGGAGGCAGAAATGAGCTTGGCTGGGACAGGCTGATGGCCACAGCGGGGCAGAGCAGAGAGCAAGGAGAACATAACAGACAATGGTGGATGGGTCAGCAGGAGCCAGATCACAGACAACTGGGGGAGCAGTTTACATTTTTAAGATTCTAAAGGTAATGGCAAGTCACTAAAGGTCTTTCTAAAGACATCAACTAATGTTTCAAAAAAGAATATTCTGGGGCTGGGGTTGTGGCTCAGTGGTAGAGCGCTTGCCTAGCATGTGTGAGGCCCTGGGTTGATTCTCAGCACCACATATGAACAAATAAAGGTCCATCAATAACTAATTAAAAAAAAAATATTCTACCTCCGAAGAGGAATAGAAGGCCAGGCCAGTTACAGAAGACCCATCAGAAGGCCACTGCACACTCTGGAGAAAGGAACACAGCTGGACAGAGGTGGGCGGCAGTGAGGGATGCAGAGAAGATGCCGAATCCAAGATGCACTCTGGGGTGAATGCTTCTGTGGATGTAACAGGCTGGGATGCTTATGAAGCGTTTGGGGGAAGAGAGGACAACATCACGGAAACAGAGGGCTCAGGGGATCTAGAACTCGGGAGGTCGGTTAGGCACTGGAATGACATTTGGAAGTCATCAGGTGCAGGATGTTTAAAGCCAAGGGCTCAGAGGAAGTCCCTCAGAAGAGGATGGAGAAGAGATGCCATGGAAATGCCTGCCCTGGCCTACTGCCATCTTCTGCTCTCACCTGCAGCCTCAGTGGCTGGGGTGTTGGACTCCTGAGTGTCCTGGTGGGCAACAGGGAGGCCGACCCTGGTGGCACCTGCCTCCTCTGGGGGGCAGCCAGGCTGTAGCAGTACCTCAGCCTGGTGGCATGGAACCCGCTCCTCTTCCCTGGCTGTTGCCAGGCTCCTGTGGGGCCGCTGGGCATCTAGGCCCAGTGTCCCACTCCAGGGGCTGAGGCTGTGGGTCCCTTGGCAGTCTGGGGACAGGCCCAAGTCACAGTCCATGTCCTCCGGAATGATGGGGATGCGCTGGCTCAGGTCCCGGGCCCCTGGAGAGCAGCTGGGTGGGGGCTCCTCGGCGAGTGTGTACTGCACACTCACTGAGTAGTCCTCAGTGTAGCAGCCACTACCCCCGCCACCACTGTGGGCCACCTGCTTCTCTTCATAGAAGCAGCAGGGCAGGCCCTCATATTTCACCCCATCTGTCCTGGGCAAATGGTCTGGGTGGAGGCCATACAGGCCGAGGGAGCCTCTGGACTGTGGCTCCCCACCCACAGGGCCACAGCCCTCAAGGAGCAGAGCACCCAGGAGCAAGGTGCTGCCACCGCTGGCTGCCCCTGCCCCAGGCCCCGGTGCAGAGGGCTGAGGCTCACAGCAGCAGGCACATGAGGGCCCCTCCCGGCTCCCCTTCCAGGTCCTCCTGAGGTCCAGGGCAGCCCCAGGAGAAGCCTCGAGCCCCACTTCTGAGGTAGAGCTATTGGGCCCCCTGTGCTCCAGCGAGGAGTTGCTGCTGTAGTTCATCTCCAGGCTGCAGGTGGACAGTTGGTCCCCTGAGGGAGAAGCAGGGCCCAGCCACGGTTCTCCCCTCCCAGCACCATAACTGTGTGCTGCCGGGAGCTCCTCGGGTGGCAGGGAGCCCTCAAGGCAAATGGCAGGCCCCCGGCCAGAGTTGCCTGAGGCCCCCGCCTCGCTGGTGCAGCAGGGGCTCCGGCTTCGGTAGATGAAGGGGTCATAGTCACTGCTGAGGGAGCTGCGGAAGGTGGAGCAGCTTCCGTACACACCCTGGTTGCTGACCTCAGTGCAGTCCACCACAGAGTCACTAGAGGAGCAGTGGCACTGGCCAGAGCTGCTGCTGCTGCTGCTGTCACTGCCTGGGCAGTCGGCCAGGTAGCCACTGCACACTGAGCGGTGGCCGTGGTAGCAGCTGAAGCTGGAAGTGCTGCCGCTCTCCAGGTGGGAAGGCGGGGCCACGTGCACCACAGTGGGGAAGAGCAGGTTGCCGTTGCCGCTGCCGCTGCCGCTCACTGGAAAGGCACGGGACGGGCCCCTGGGCGTGAGGCTGGGCAGAGGCTGGCCCTCCTGCTCCGGGTAGCTGAGGCCCTGGAAGTAGTAATGTTGGTACATGGTCTCATACTGGGAGAAGCAAGCTGCCTTGGAGAAGCTGCGGCCACTGAACTTGGGCCTGCGGAAGGGGTGGGCTGGGGAGTAGGCCCGGTGCTCCAGACTACAGCGGTGAGTGGCCAGGGCGTGATCCAGGTGCAGGGGTGGGTAGCTGCGGATGTAGGTGGGGGTCTGTGGAGAATAGAGGCTCTGCTCCCCATGCCGGTCCATGGTGAGCAGTGTGACGGGGTTCCCGTGGGAGTCCATGCTTGTCCTTGTAGGGTAGGCTGGGATGGCATTGGTCCTGTGCACGCGGCCAGGGTAATGTACTGGCAGGGTCACCCTCTGCTGCCGACTGCGTGCAAGGTTGCTGGTCTCCACACACACGGCACCCGGGTTTCCCTTTTGTTCTGGGGAGAGGTGGAGGAAACAAGGTAAGCAGGGCTGAGCATACTGGTGACAGGGGCTAGAGAAGTTAAAAAAAAAAAAAAAAAGAAACTGAAGCAGCAAGCTGGGCCACGTCCCGGTGCCTATTCTCACCACCCTGCCACATCCTAAGCTATCTCCAAACTCAGCTGTGCTGGCAGGGCCCAGCCTGCCTCCGTGTGGAAGGCAGTTACTCCCAAAAGGGCCTGTGTCTCACCTCCCCACTGCTCCATCTGACAAGGGTACCCGTCTACAGAAAGCAATAAGGACCCAGGATAAAAGTGCCTCCTTCCTGCCCCATAAGAGTGATGCAGGAGCAGCGTCGCAAACCTGCCACATTCATTATCTTTTGTGGTCCCCTGTGGTCTGAGCACGGCAGCATCATTACTGTCATCCCACTGAGACAGGGGGCCTCAGGCTGGAAAGGCCACAGGCCTTGTCCAAGGTCAGGAAGCTATTTAATGTGAAGCCTAAACTTGAGCTTGGTGTGATTTTCTTGTGTGTGCTGAAGATGGAACCCAGGACCCTGAGCATGCTAGGCATGTGCTCTACCACTGTGCTGCAGCCCTAGCCCCTTAGGGAGGTTCTTTTTTTTTTTTTAAATATATATATCTTTATTTATTTTTATGTGGTACTGAGGATCGAACCCAGTGCCTCACACATGTGAGGCGGGCGCTCTACCACTGAGCTCCAGCTCCAGCCCCAGCCCCCTTCGGGTGGTTCTTAATGCCAAGCTTTTCTAAGGACTGTGTAGACAATCTCCAGAACCTAAGGCCACATGCCTCCAGTCCAGAGGACAATGCTATGGTGCTCTTGCTTGCTCACTAGATTATGACATGTGTCATGCTCTTGCTAGGCACTAGGAAGGGACACTGTTCTCTGACTTGACTCTTCACCAATGATTAAGGCAGGTGACAATTACCTATGATGTTGTGCCGACAGTGGGGGCAGGTGTGGTGCTGCAGCAGCCATGGGTCCACGCACTTCCTGTGAAACCGGTGAGTACAGGGGATGACCCGCAGCTCCTGGGAAGGGAGAGAGGGGACACAGCCTGAAGGGAGGACGTGACGGGAGCAGCCTTGCCTTCTGCCTCACACATACTTGCTTCTGTGGAGTCTGGCATGGGCGGAGAACTCCTGCTCACTGTATTGGTGCGTTCCTGCTTCAGTTTGGACCCTAACCTTCCCCAAAGGCCCATGTGTTAAAGGCTGATCCCCAACTTGGCACTACCAAGGGTGGGGCCTGGCATTGGTCTTTTGGTCATTGCAGGCATGTCCAATCTCCCCTTATCTTGCACCCTGGCCATGAGGTGAGAAGTTCTGCTCGGCCACAGCCTCCCATAAGGATGTGCTGCCTCGCCACAGAACCAAAGCAATGGGGACAACTGATCATGATCTGAAACCTCTGAAACTGAACCAAAATAAAGCTCTTCTAAGTTGACTCTGTCAGGTACCTGTGGCAGCAGTGGGCCGCTGACTAACATATTTCCCACTCTCCTCTGCCTCCAGCTACAGGTGAGCTCCACTCCCTAAAGATATTATGCATCTGGAGTAGGGGGCATTGCCTCCAGGTACCCTAAGTGAGGATGATAGAAAGGGCGATGTCTAGGACTTGTGATTGACGGGGTGGGATGAAAGGTAGAGAGGGTGATCCCTTCTGTCAGTGGACCCCAAACACTATCAGCCTATGTGGAGAGAACACGATGGGGGTTTTTGGGGTGCAAAACCACCTCTGTGGTTCCTGAGCCTAAGCATCCTGCAAATCTGCCTTATCTGACCAAATTAATATCAAACCTTTGTGCATGTTAGGGTGACAGAGGTCTACCTGTACTTTGATCTTTGTGGTCACCTAGAATGCTGGTCAGTCTCAGGCCCACATCACAAGTGCAGGCACAGGGAATGAGGTCACTTGCTCAAGTTCACAAAACTAGAATCCAGGAACCGGGTTGGAACCCAGGCAGTCTCTACTTAGAGCCCATGCAGGAACCTGTCACTCCAAAGGACTCTGCAAAACTAAACTCATTTTCATCCAACAGGGGGGACACTTTCATCAAAGGGGCATCAAATGTCAACAATTCAAGTGGTTTACTTGAAATTGCTCCACTTCCCCAGACCATATGTGAACATATATCTATCTATAGATGAAGCCACAGTGGCTAAATATTAGTGATGGGTGATTCTAGATGAATAATCTATGTCACTCATGTAATATTCTTATAATTTTTTTTAAAGATTTTTAACTTTCGGGCTGGGGTTGTGGCTCAGTGGTACAGTATTCGCCTAGCACATGCGAGGCCCTGGGTTCAATCCTCAGCACCACATAAAAGAAAAGTAAAATAAAGGTATTATGTCCAACTACAACTAAAAAAAAAAAAAAAAAAAAAAAAGATTTGTAACTTTCGAAAAAGAGCTGCAAGGAAAAGCAAAAATGGACAAGTTCCTTGTCTCTTTCCAAGTAAAAAATACCATATCAAGTATTAAGAAATTTTAGAAGAGTGATTCTGAAACAGAGCCAGCATGTGTGAATGTGGGTTTTTTTTTTTTTTTTTTTTTTGTGTGTGTGTGTGTGTTAGTTACTGGGAATCAAACTCAAGGTCTTAAACATTCTAGGCAAGTGTTCCACCAGAGTCACATCCTTAGCCCCTGTGAATATTCTTAAAACCAGACATTTTCTGTCCTACCATATGTTTCTGATCAATTTCTGAAATCACCTACATCTAGCTGGACCCTGTGGGGAGTGTTGTGTCCTCCCCAGTCCTGGTGAGGGAATGGCTAGACTGTTCGGGCATCATCCCTTAGAAACCTCTGTGTTGACCCCCTTTTAGGGTGTGGGGAAGACTGTGGCCCGAGTGTCTATGTTGATCTGCCACCTTCTCCCCACCCAAGACAGGCCCTGCCTCTGCCACTACCTCTCCGTCGATGTACTTCTCCAGGCAGATGGCACAGTCGGACGTGGAGCTGCTGCTGAGGGTGTCCAAGGCCCCGCAGCTTCCCTCCCGGCGCCCCTTGCTCTTGGAGTTGAACTTTCTAGTTTCCATCTTCTCCAGAGCCTGCACAGCCAGCCTGTTCATGGAATTCTGCAAGGCAGAACAGGGTCAGTGTTAAGAATCTGGTACATATTAACAGTGGTAGTTATCCTTGGGGCCATGGTACCTGATGTACTGGGACAGTCGCTATCAGGCCAGAACAGATTTTTTTTTTTTTCTTTTTCCCTTCGGTCCTGGAGATTTAATCTAGGGGCATTTAAACACTGAGCCGCACCTCCTGCCTGTTTTATTTTGAGACAGGGCCTCACTAAGTTGCTTAGAGCCTTGCTCAGTTGTGGAGGTTGGTCTTGAACTTGCAATCCTCCTGTTTTAGCTTCCCGAGCTACTGGGATTATAGGTGTGCACCACTGAGCCCGGCTGCCAGACAGGGAAACTTAAAACTCAGACGGCCACGGCAAATATTTTCCAGAGCCCTGGAGTATCCATGATATCAGCCCAGGCTGTACTTGAGCGGCCCTGCTAGCCGAGGTCTTGCCTTTGAGGTGAAGGCAGGGCTCTCTCTGCCATTGCCCCGCTGCTTCCCAATTCAGTGAGACTGTTTTACACTCCTTGTCTACAGTGGAGGAAGCTGTGAGGGTGAGGCAATGCATGAGTCTTGGCACAGACACAGGATGTGCTCAGTAAACATCAGCCCCTGTGGTCGGTGGTGGCCCTCACCCCTTGTGAGAACTTGGTACGCCTCCTTGACGGACTTCTGCCAGCTGTGGCACCGTCTGTCTCTCAAGATGTTACACTGCTATATCTGAGAGTCTAGATTCCTGCTGGTCCTCTCACCATTCTCTACTCCTAAATCTTCATTTCCTATAAGCAATAGTGACATGCTGGCTGGAGAATCACAAGGAGAGTCTGGTAGATGCGGATTTGGACTCAACAGGCCGAGGGCCTGGGACTCTGTATTTCTAGTAAGCACTCAGGGGCCGCTGGTGCCAGATCTGCTTGAGAAGCCAAGTTCAAGGATTCCATAAGTACATTTAAACATTTCCTTTGAAAAACTAGCTGGAAATGTCCCCAGCGCTGGGCCTTTGCCCCTTTTGGAACAGTAAAGGCATAGTGCTGGGGAGCAGCTGGGAGTTTGGACCCCCCAAACAGTAGGCTGATAAGAGCCCTGACTTTCACCAGCAACAGAGTAATGAGGTCAATGTTCTGGGACTGCTCTGAGGGATTACCTGACTACGTCGCTGCTTCAGCTTGATTTTGACAAGGAGGATGAGGCAGACCAAGGAGACCACGACAAAGAACGCCAGGAAGATGCCCATGTCAAAGTACTCGGTGGGTTGCTTGAACAGAAGACAAACACGGTCAGTCAGACTCCATTCAGCCAGTAACAGGCACAGGGGGTGCACGTTCCCACTGTGTGCAGGAAGCTCCTGGGGTTCTGTTCACGTCACACGGTGCACTCAGTGTGGCTGGGGGAGGCCTGTAGCCCTCAGGCTCCCCATAGCCAAGTGAACTCTATTCGTTAAGCCTGGTCCCGCTGGAATAGTGCAAAGTTTGATGTAACCAGTAAGAAAAGCTCTTCCAAATAAATACGAATAATCACATTTAGAGGACAAAGGAGTGAGTGTCATGTTTTGAGGGAACAGTGATTACTAACCATATAATTAACGGTTTACAACAACTCAGAAAATTGTATGCTGCTTCCACAAATATCAGCTTCCACTACAATGAGTCATATTTACCAAAGCATTCTTTTTTCCTTTAAAAAGAAGCCAGCAAGTCAGTTCTGCAAATTCCCTCTAGTTTTAGTTCTAACCTTTCCCTCACGGCACACTCCCCAACCGCTTGAAGCCACCTCACTTCGGACATAACATTTAGCCAAGGAGAGCAGAGTTGTCCTAACAGGATATTGCACGTATCATCCCACGTGTGAGGAAGAAACCTGGGGTACTAGCCCCAGGCTCCTATTATCCTTCAGCTTGAGGTTGTACAAAACATGCCAGGCCAGCGTTAATAGCCATTAGTGTCCCTTCAACACACTGAAGAGAAGACTGAATGCTGTGTAAGTCAAGCCCAGTAGAAAGCTTACTTTCCCAGACTCATCTGTGAGTCAGGGAGTTTGTGAATTTTGGGGGGATAGGTGGGGGGGTACTGAGGACTGAACTCAGGGGCCCTCAACCACTGAGCCACATCCCCAGCCCTATTCTGTATTTTATTTAGAGACAGGGTCTCACTGAGTTGCTTAGGGCCTCCCTTTTGTTGAGGCTGGCTTTGAACTGGTGATCCTCCTGGCTCAGCCTCCCAAGCTGCTGGGATGACAGACGTGTGCCACCACGCTGGGCTTGAGCTGGGGAATTTTAAAAAGGTAATGTACCCCATAGAAAAAAGGACATACAGGCCTTTTCTCTAGTGTCTGGGTCAAATGAAAGGAGGGCGACACAGGAACCCAAGTGCTGGGCATTCCACCTTCATTCTCCTTCCCGTGGCTCCCAGAGGCAGGCGCCACGTGAGAGAAGGAAGGATGAGAGGGAATACCAGGCAGGGAGAGCACAATTTTCTTAGCACAAGCCATCTATTTCTGGTAAGTTTTTTCAACTTCCTGAAAAGGAAGAGGGGTGAAATATTTTCCTGGCATCCTAGAGCTGATCTTGACCTGCAGGAGCCTGGGGTATGCCGGTATTTTAAAGAAAGGACAGGAATGAAAGCATCAGCCCAAAGGAAACAAAGATACAGAGAGCAGCTGACAAGTCATGTGTGGACACTCACTCGAGGAGGGCGGTGTTGGATCCTTGCTCGGGCCACTTTTTGCTTGTTAACAATGTTCATTAGCTTGAGAGCATCGGCGCCCTTCACGTACACCACTGGTCTTTTGAGTGGGTCTTCTGAGCCCTGGTTTAGCTGAGAAGCAGAGAGCCCTCGTTAGAAGATGGGCTGACTTTAAGAAGAGAGGACTGAGGACACAGCTCAGTGGAAGAGAGCTTGCTTAGCCTGTACAGGGCCCTGGGCTCAATAAAAATAAAATAGCAAGAGAAAGGGGCTGGAAATCTGTATCTGGAAATCCTTGAAATCGTGAGGCAAGACAGCCTCGGGGTCCCCAAAAGGGCCGCTAAGGCTGATGGTTGTTGTAAGATGGGCTAGCCAGGCTGCCGGCCCAGAGGAGTCTTTGAAAATGTTTTGCACCCCAACTCCCTGGCTCTTCACCCCTCTCAATACGCCTCCCCCAGGTAGGATATCCAAATGCAGACAACTTACTTCAGCAGACAAGTTCACTAAAGGAAGTGCCTCTCTCAGGGAGATTTCAGGGTTGGTGTGGCGCGAGTTTACCTGGTCGATGGCTTCTGGGTTTTCAGACACATCAAAGATGACTGCAGTAGCTCCCCGCTGCACTGCTCGCTTGGCCTGGCAGAGGGAAAAAGAACAGGTTGGCAACTCTGGTCCTCTTACCTCACCAATGCTGACCTTGGACATCAGGCCTGTATGTGAAAGCAGACTGACAATAACCAACTTGTGTGGCTCTGGGCAAGTTACTCAGCTTTCTTAAGCTTCAACTCTCTCATCTGTAAAATGGGACAATGCCACCTACCTGGTACGCATATCCTAAGAACCAGGTGACTTACAGGTAACTGGGTACTCGATAAGCCTGGCTCCTCAACCAGCCCTAACATAACATTAACAACAAACTGCAGAACAACAGACACACTGATATCAGTGTTTCCTCTGGTGAACACTGAGCCTTCAGCAACCAAGGCAAACACCTTTGGTCCATCTCTGTGGTCCTTTTCTTCCCTCCCACGTCACCTAATTGCAATAGCATGTTGATTATTTCTGAATGAATCTCAGAATGGTCACTTTTAATCAGTGACACAAGCTGAAGACCTCTGGAGACACTGTGTTGGGGGGAAGCTATGAGAAATAATTGTACATGGGGATTTAGAGCAGTTGGCTGCCAAACCTGGCTGCACATCAAAAACCACTTGGGAAGTTTGTAAAGCAGATTTCCTGGCTCAAACCACAGAGACTGATTCAGCAGGGCTGGAGTCAGGCCCAGGAAACTGAGTTCTATAAGCTTTCTGAGGGATTCGTATAATTCAACTACTTAGGGAACTACAGATCAGAGTGATGAGATTAGAAGGTTCAGAAACAAATGAGAAGTGAAGGGATTCTTTTTTTGAAGGGGGTGTGGTAGTGGGGAGAGGATTCCTTTCCATCCCAATGAACCTTCTAATTTCACATCCAGCCAAGTGGACAACAGGGCAGAAGCTGTGGAAGAACTAGACTATAAGACAGACTTTTACTTTTAGGAGTCTGAATCTTGTTAAGGAAGTGACTCCTCTAAAAAAAATGTGTGTGTGTGTGTGGGGGGGCTGGGGATGTGGCTCAAGCGGTAGCGCGCTGGCCTGGCATGCGTGCGACCCGGGTTCGATCCTCAGCACCACATACAAAGATGTTGTGTCCGCCGATAACTAAAAAATAAATATTAAAATTCTCTCTCTTAAAAAAAAATGTGGGGGAAAAACAAAACAAAAACAAGACTGCTATATGCTATTAGATAGGCAAGTGATGGAAAGTGTTCAGAGGTCAATACAGGCACCAAAGGCCAGAGTGCTTGAGAAAGAATAAAATCTGAATTCCTTCCACAGGAATAATGGCTCCACATTGACGTGGCTAGTCTAATGACTCCACTGGACCACCAGAGGGCAGCCTCATCCCACAGCTTTTAAACCAATTTCCTGCACTTGGTACCAAACAAGCAGGACCAAAAACCTCTGCAGTGGTTCTCCTGGGCAAGGCACGTTCCTCAGCAGTTTAAGAAGCTCTGGTACCCTAGTTGCTGTGCTGCAGAATCTGTCCCTGTTCTGCAGGAGACTCTCTCTCTCTTTCTTTTATTTTTTGCAGTACTGGGACTGAACTCAGGAGTGCTTTACCATTGAGCTATATCCCCCGTTTTTTTGAGACAGGGTCTCACTAAATTGTCCAGGCTACCCTCAAACTTGTAATCTTCCTGTCTCAGCCTCCCAAATAGCCAGAATTACATGTATGTGCCACTGCACCCAACTCTTCTTTAAAAAATTGAGGTGGAATATATTAAAAGTCTTGCCTCTGGTCTGGTCCACCCCACCCTGTTTTACAATGGAGTTCTGCACTAGAAATCAGGAGTGAATCAATACTGGGGGCTATTCCCAAGCAAGTTACAGAATCTCTTTCAGCATGTCTCAGTTTCCTTGTCTGTCAAAGGAGGTAGATGCCCATGTAATTATAACTAGGGTCCCTTTGAGTTCTCAGTCTTGGCCATTCAACAGAGAATCCAGAGTAACTCAGAACAGCAATGTCATGTCCTCCAGCAAGAGGACATGGGTGGCAGAATTGAGAAAATATAAGGCCAAGGTAGCATCAATTTCCTAGTTTGGAGCCTAGTTTGAACAGTGAAGAGGGCGGGTGGCAAATAAGGTGCTTCCATTCCACTTACAGCCCGATTTCAGATACAGCTCAACCCGCTCATACACAGGAGCCAAGGACAAATGCCATGTTTAAGAAAATGCTTAATTCTCATAGTTTACTTTTAAAGTTATATTTAATGCAGACTATTAAAACGTTTATATTTCCTGCATGTACCAGGACTGGACAGGAGGGGAGTTAGCTCAGAACCCTATTGGAAACCTGCCTGTCAAGAGCCAGCTTAGGATTTAAAATAGGCTGTGAATAACCCATACTTAAAAAAAAATATTCTTTATTATAATTTCCCCAAAGCAAATTTAAAAAGTACACAACACTTCTTGGTCATACTTTCCCTTTGCTCATTTTTAGTTAAAAAACTTGATGAGGCAAATTTTTTGAATCAATCTTCATACCTTAGAGCATTCTCCCATTTTACCAAGTCAATCTTGAGCCAGGATATTATTTCAAAATAAACCTAACCCTAGTTGGGAGATTGTCCATACTGTGACTACTACAAACCCAGTCTCCATAGTGCCACACACTCAGTGTCCAAAACTCTCGAGGCTACTTGAAAGAAAGGATGCAGCCTGTGGATATGGCTAGATTAAGGTCACTGGTCGCTGGTCCAGAGGGCAGTTACCCCTAAAAACTGCACAGACTGGAGTGGAAGGGAGAGTAAGAGAAGGCTGTGATAGCAGAAAAGAGGTGGGACATTTTGGCAGGCACAAGAAGAGCTCTTGCCTTGATGACCTCTGTATACCCTTCCCACAGAGGGATCTTCAAATCCTTTATCACCTATGCTGCTTTGATCCTCACTGCAGGCCCCACCTGTCAGCAGGTGACTGGAAGCCCAGCGGGCAGAATGCTAAATAAAAGGTTGTCATGGTCCTTATTTACCCTTTCCAGGGTTGCAGAACCCAAGGTAGTCAACGTCCGCAGCCACTGACAGCAAACGGCAATATCTGCACACAGATCCATTTTGAAAAGCATAAAATTTGAACCCTTACAAGAGGGGGGCCTACTGTGGTTGGCACTTATTGTTCCTATGGTAACTCAATTAACATTAATTAAAACTGAAAGACAGCCAGATGGGATCATACTCTTGATTGCCATAAAAAAAAAAAAAAGTGCTCCCCGACCATGGATGTGGTTTCCCGTAAGGAGGTCTATAGTGTCCCAATGCCAAGGGTATTCTGATGAGAAAGGTCCCATGACCTTTCTCATAAACATAAAGCCTAGAGGCCAGCACTTCTCAGAAATCCTACTTAGGGGAGGCTGAGGCAGGAGAATCATGAGTTCAAAGCCAGCCTCAGCAACAGCAAAATGCTAAGCAACTCAGTGAGACCCTATCTCGAAATAAAATACAAAATAGGGGCTGGGGATGTGGTTCAGTGCCCCCGAGTTCAATCCCTAGTACCCCCACACCCCAAAAAAGAATAGGAAAAAAAGAAATTCCAATCAGGAATAGATCTCATGTCCCCCTTCCCACCATGTATACAGTTACACTCAGACTGGTTTGGGGCTTAGACCCATAGAATACGTGCTCCCTGGAGTCTCTGGAGCACAGAGCCCATTTTTTAACCTGTTTGCCTATTCCTTTGCCAAACACTTGGGTGTGGTGTCCCCAATGCCTAAACTCTCATTGTAGGAAACCAGACAGAATATAATCTTAATCCAAATGATGATAGAAAATCTCTTTTGTCCCAAATTCCTAATCATAGGATAACCAAGGAAGCTTGGATTCTCAGAGATGACATGGGCTCTTTTGGGAAGTTCCACAAATAGGGGCTCCAAACAGGCTTTTTTTTTTTTTTTTTGCATTTCACTTTTTCTAAATACTTATCATAAGCTTTCAATGAGTCATTAAAAAAATCTTTTTTTTTTCTCCCCCTGTGCAAGTCAGGGCATAGAACCCAGGATCCACATGCATCATAGGCAAGTGCTCTGCCACTGAGCTATATCCTCAGCACTGCTATCACCCTTCTTGTCGCAGCTTTTAAATATAATACTGTGGTTTACATCCTTCCATGTTCTCCTTTAACCCATGCATTAGTAAGAATAAAATTAAGGGGGCTGGGGTTGTGGCTCAGCGGTAGAGCGCTCGCCTCGCATGTGCGGGACCCTGGGTTCGATCTTCAGCACCACATAAAAATAAATAAGTGAAATAAAGGTATTGTGTCCAACTACAACTAAAAAATAAATATTTAAAGAAAAAGAGTAAAATTAAGAATAAAATGTACATGTATTATGTACACACAGCAAAATGTACTTCAAAATAAATTGGATGTGCACTGCTCCATGTCTGCTATTTATTCTTTACCTCAATCATTTTCTCAACAATATTATAGGCATTGATGTAGGAAAATGTTCATTCTTAGCAGCTACACATAAAACTCCACTGTACGGTTGTGTGGAAGCTTATTTAATGACTGTCCCTCTGACAAGGGCACACAGGGATATCTACCTTTTCTCTTAGTATGAACAGAGCTGTATCCATATTGTAATTAGTTTGGTGGCATTTGCCCTTAAAATAGCTCTGAGTGGTCCTGCTGAGGGAAAAGGGTATAGATATCCTATCTCCAAACACCCTGCTTGAGTGCCCAGCACACCCTTGGAGCCTAACAGAGACTCCTAGAAGCTAGGAAGTAGATCTTGCAGACCATGTTGTATACCCCATAAAGCCTAACAAAGCAGATTGCCCTGGGCATGGTCCTTACTCAACTAATTAACACAGTAGGTGGGAACGGAGTTTAATTCTTTTATATTACCACTTATTAATTTAGTTGTTCAACAGTAGTTATTAACCAGTTACTATGTGTGCTAGCCCCTGGGGAAAGGTCCAGCAGTGGACAGCAGGCAGTGACAAACCTCTGTCTCCATAGAGCATGTCTTCTGCCTCTGGGGCCAGCAGAGACCTCTCTGAAGAGGCTGGGAGTTCGCCAGGGAGAGTCAGTGTTTAGTAC